CTTTTTTCAAGCGTATGGAATTGAATTTAGCAAGATTTCTCTATCATACCAGAACTACCTCGCTGCCCCAATGGCAAGTGCAAAAAGAATGCAATTTGTAAAGATTTCAATGGTACTGACCTGTGTGATTGCAAAGGAGGCTATCATTTCAACGGCAAGATCTGTGTTGGTAAGGACATTGTCTTCATCATCATTATTTAACAAAGAGAACAGTGATTTGGAGATTGTTTCCTTTAGAAATGGCAATTCTTTTTTTGTACTACCTGCTCAATCGTTACAAGTAGCAAGCGGTTAAATGGCTCCAGCTCACTACTTCTTCTCTCCGTTTAACCCTGATATGCAACAAGTTATTTGTTTACAAGTTATCAGTTCAACAACAACAACAAAAGTGAAAACGAAACAGGTTCTGTTTACCGCAGAACTTAACCTTAGATAGCCTCGCGCTTGGCTCAAACTTTTCATAGCCATTTCGATTTTTAATTTTGTTCGCTTAGTGATTCAGCCGCTGAGCTTACTCCCGGCTAAGCTAGGTGGGAAGAACGGTTGAACTCTTCCAAATTGTGGAGGCCGTTCTTAATTGTTCAGCCGCATGTACTTAATTCCAATAATTAAGTTGGTAACTGATAACTTAATTTCTTTTTCCTCATCTTTTAGACACAGATGAATGTCAACTAGACAAAAGTATCTGCGGTTCAAACTCCGTTTGTTCAAACACTCGGGGATCTTACCACTGCAACTGTGAAGTTGGCTTCAGGAGTGACGAGGACAGTGGAAAAAACTGTAACGGTGACTTTTGGTTGATGTGACTTTCTAATATAAACGAGCAAGCTGCTATGAATGTGATAAAACACTTCAAGAATATCTTTTATCGTGAAAATGAGCTTAGTCGGCCGGGAGGAGGTCCGTATGGTAATACACTGTGCTTGAGGTCTTGAATACGGCTCGAAGCCGAAGCTAAAGGCGTTACCCATGACCATGGGCACAGTTTTTTCCAATACAGTATTTATGTGTTGTTTTCTTTTCCCGCTTTGCTATGAATGGCCAATTAGAGCGCTTAACCCTCTATAAATACTTGACTCAATACACTTATACTATCTATTGACATTTGTTATCGTAGAAATAAATGAATGCGAGAAAAAAGACTTATGTGGTAGTGTAGCAGAGTGTGAGGACATTTTTGGATCATACAAATGCAAATGCCCGCATGGATTTTCCTATGATAAAACAGAAAAGAAATGTTTTGGTGAGAAACATTGCACATTTTAATCTTCAGAATAAATAATTTTTGTTCGACATTCATATCGATTTCAAATAAAACGCGTGTTTATGTGTTTAAGAAGAATTTCAAAAATTTTACCATGATATTTCTATATACTTTCTCGCAGATAATGATGAATGCACAATTAGTCATTCGTGTCAATCCTATATGATTTGCACAAACACATTTGGATCCTACTCCTGCCGCTGTCACCAAGGATATCGCGCAGACAAATTGTTTTGTACAGGTAATGATTAGGTGAAGAGCACGATATAAAAACAGTGCCAATGCCTCTTCTCAGTTGAATGCAACTCTTTCGCTATCTACGCACCCACTAAGCTAAATCCAAGGTGACGTGGAAAATGTTGTTTCATAAATTTTTATTAATAAGTTGAAATGAAATAACTTTAATTTAACTAGCGGATAAGAATCAAACAAAGAAATAATCCACGCTAGCGGAGTGCAATTTTGGCAATTGCATCGAAGAATCCTGAATAAACTCTTTGAGGAGATTCCCAGATACTATTTGGGTAGGACACATTCACCAACTTCCTTTGTTGCAGTATCAACTATTATCTAGGAGGCACCGGTTCGAATCCCGTCAATCCCTGAATTTTTTTTCCGGCTTCTTCTATGCAATTGCGAAAAATCGCAGTCCACCTGCGAGGATCTTTTTTTTTGCTTTAAATATTCAGTAATTATCCTTCACCTCTGACTTCATGGTACAATTCCAAGGAGCATAAAAGCCTTCTACTTGTCAGTGTTATATGAGGTTCCTCTCCTGAGGGACCTATGGTATTCTTCTCTTCTGCAAAGTTCAGCAAGTTCAGGGGAAACTTAACTGCCTGTCACTCTATTGAAGCGACAGATCGACCCATTTGCTCTAAGTAGGAAATATTCTCTAAGGGTTCCTCCTCGATTTAGTTACTTATATCAAAGACGAATCAATCTAAAACAGAAGGGCATGGAAATTTACATATATGTCCTTTTTGTTTTACATAGATATCGATGAATGTGAGGAAATGAGATACGATTGCCCTAAGTTTTCAAGTTGTAAGAACTTAAACGGTAGTTATGAATGTGTCTGTAAAGGCGGTTATCGAAAAGAATCCGATGGAACTTGTTCAGGTAATGTTTAACATTTAATTTCACCTCTGGAAAGGAGTTTTTTTTACTGCCGTAGAGCTGAGATAACTAAGCTCAAGCTTATATATGTGTCTTTGGTGCCCACTGTAAACAAACAATACTGCAATTAAAGCCTGTTATTATTGTCCTCAGAAATTTGCTTTCCAGAGTGTGACGAAAATTCATATTGTCAGATAGGAAAATGTCTGTGCAAGAAGGGTTTTCTTCTGAGCCCAAACCAAATGTGTCAAGCAGGTTAGTGGTTGGATTGAAATAGAATGGGATGGGTTGGGACAGAATGGAATATCTCGACAGAAAGGATAGAATTAGGAAGAATGGGAAGGAAAGGGATAGGATATAATGAGATGGCATCGTACTCTGATGTCCATGGAGGTAAATTGTAAGCTTTCACACCAAGTCTAGCCACTGTGACAAGATGGACATTTGTTAGCCACACATACAAAGCTTTAGGATGATAGCCATTTGGCTATGCATACACTCCTTGGTTGTATGAAGACGGAGCCCATTCAATAACCTACACGTATCCAAAAATCAAAGACATTTTGCGGCCATCATCTGTCATAAGGAAATAAGCCTTGTAAACTTGGGGTGGCAGATACTTACCTATTTAAGGCCAAATTTAATCTGTTCGTTGGTGATCAATTGATTGTGTTGTAAGTGTTGCCGCAGTGTGTATATAAGGCGTATTCTGACTTTTTTCTTGTATTATTGCAGCTTTTCTGCGGTCATCAGGCGTTTCATTCCATTCTCATGTTTTGTTCCTCATAACTACGCTGCTGTGGTCCCTGATCCTGCTCTGTCTCGTGGTCTTCCTTTAAAAAAACATCATAATCTTTGGCTTTTTTGTATACTTTCTATCTCAAATGGAAACTTCAGTGCGCTCTAAGGATGATAACATTAAGATTATGACCTCAGGAAACAACACTTAACTTACATGAAATCAATCATATCTAAACCTTGCGAAAGTCTTGTCAATGAGGACTTTGCTAATCCAAAAACTTGTTAATCTCAGCTTTCAGAGAAATAAAAACAAGCTCCTTTGCTATCTCCTTGGCTTTTTCACTTTTCAACATTAAAAAGTGCTTCCTAATGCATACAAATGGAATTACGTACGCAATCACGCATGCGCATTAGCCACTCTCTTTCCCTCTATGCACGTAATGGTTAGATTTGATCCAGAAATCTAGTTGGCACTTAAGCTAGAAGCAGTAGCTTGTAGGTGCAGTTTTACCGTCGAATACCGACCAAATTTTTCTCGGCTTCACAGATTAGTGCTATTTTTTCTATAATTATGAGGCTTCGCTGCACGCGCTGCAAGCTCCGCTATTAAAAAAAGAGGACTGTCAGGTTTATCACAATCTCATCTCAGAGGAGATGTACTTGGAGTCTAAGTTTGGATAAAGTTAAAAGTCAGACAGTCAAGACGTTAATTAAGTCGTTCCAAATTATGTTTATCTTATATCTTGTAACTCTTCTATGGATGTCTCCTACAGCGTATTAAACAACACACGTAGGAAAATTTGACAGGATTGTTTATTTTCGTAAAACAAATGATCTAATTCAAACAAAACGTGACTTTTTACCTTTTTTTTTTTCGGAAACAGACAAGGTAAAATTTCTCCGATGTTAACAAAAGTTTTTCTGTGCTAAAGAACGGCATCTTATGTATTTCTTGTAGTAGAATGCCCCGACGTGGGCTTGGAGTGAATGTGAAAAAGAAAGAAAAGTAATCTCATCTGATTTGTTACGATAAGCGTTGTATATGACAAAAGGGATTATGTTGACATTTCCTTGATTTTCACCTTGCCTTCTACAAACAGCAACTGTATTCATTAAATAGACATTTATTCAAAAGATTCAACCTTCTTGAATATGGATAATGTTACGGTGTCTTGTTTTCTGCGGGCACTTAGAGTTTAAAGAACCGAACCTATAATCACCAGAAAACTGAAGATCTTCGTAAAAGACGCACTCTCATGACGAGCAAAGTTCAATATTCGATTGCTATTCAGCTGTCTGAGGTTGTCTTAAACCCGTACATTTAAATGCGCGGCAAAATGGTGGTAGTGGGACGATGCAAACTGGGTGTTTGCATCATTACGAAAAGAAGCATTGTTTCCGAAATATTATAAGAAAGCATCATATATCCATGTGGTAAAGTACGTTTTAAGAGATTTGTTTTTGGCCGCATTTCTGCCCTATTGAGAGTTGTTTTAGCCAATTTATAATAAGCAAATGTTCCTTAAGTAGCTCAAAATCCTGTCGCTTTTCTTAATCATTATCTGATTGCGAAAATGGAAGTGAACGCCGAAACAAAACGAAAAACATGCAGTATGTTCTCAAATTGGTATTTTAGGTAGGAGATATTTTGTCCAACCGTTTAGTATGTTCCTAAAGCTTTTCAGAATTCCTCTATCTAAAATAACTAGCCATTATTTTACTTATACCTGTTTATCTTCTTTTTTTTTAGAGAGAGAAATTAAGGAGCCAGCGACAAGTGTATTTTTTCTGGCAAGTCTAATTTCATTCAAAAGCTTGGGTTTTGCATTCTAGAAGTTTGATTAAACGTTCTATCCGAGGTGTTAAAACAGCCGCAATGAACGAAACTAATTATGGACGGTCGGATATAACAAGTGACAAAGGAGGTCAATACAGTAGTGGCTTTCTGTTTGTTTTGCCAGTCATCTTCTGCATGATTTTTATTGGAAATGTTCTTCTTCTCGTTGCTATCAAATCATTTCGCATCCGGCGAGTTCCTGATCAGCTTGTTGGTTCGTTAGCTGTGATAGATCTTCTAAATGATTTAGGACCCGTTTTAATGTCGATCGTCGTGTTTCAAATCGATCACCGAGGGTTTCAGAGTGGACGTATAAGTTACGAGCTGTGCCACTTTTATAACTGGATTTCCTCGTTTCTTCGCCTGTCAGCTTCGTTTGTGGCATCATTAATGGCTGTAGATTGTTTCTGTGCAACCTTACAGCCGATCTATTACCGGACCAAAGTCACATCTGACAAAGCAACCAAACTCATTCTTTGTGTCGTGTTGTCGGGGGCGTTTATATCTGCACTTCCTGCAATGGGCTGGGGAAGAGTTTTAGCTCACAAGGGAATTTGCTCGTTCAACTTTAATGGAGGCTTCGCTCTATGCATAGCCACATTAGGATATGTGCAACTCATAATGGTGTTGACCTGTTTCATCGCCGTAGCAAGAAAAATGAGCAAATATGAAAAGCGATTCAATGGGCTTCGACGTGGTAGGACGCTGACCTTTCTAAATGGCAGACTTCAGGCTATGGAAATGCAGACAGCAAATGAAAGGCGAATATCACATATGGATGAAAATGGTATTCAGGGTGGTAGCAATATCAAAAGAACATGCAACACCACAAGAGGTATGAGTACTTTGGCAGAGGACGACGACAGCAACAAAATTACAGAGGAAAAATGCGAACAAAATGAAATAAGACGCAGAGAATCAAAAACAGATCCCAGTGTCAATCGGTGCAGTGTCAATAGGAATGTGAAGGAGAGCCGCCAGTTTACAAAGGTTCTTGGATCAGTGGTGTTTCTATTCTATGTCAGCTGGATGCCAATCATTGTAAGCCTATCTTTAATGCGCCAGCTTTTCGTTTCTGTAGCCCGTTAGCCAGCAGTACAGGCATTTTATTGGGGCGAGTTAACGTAAAAGGTCGTGATCGTTTATTCGACAGGCCATGTTTGATCTGGCGCTAGAGTGGAAGTTGAGGGAAGAGAGCGGAAAAAAGTGAAAAGTTATCTTCAGTGGCCCACCCCTCCCTTCGCCTTCCTTTGGACCGTCGCCTACCCCCTTGGTAAAAAATCTCATTCTTTCCCCAGCCTTTCCCTGCTGTGAGAATCAAAAGTGGCAGCTATTACTCACCGAGATATTACTGAGCACTCGCCCGCCAAAACTACACCTCTGCAAGCTTTTAGCCAGTTACCCGAGAAACATTTTTTTTCTGTCTGTAAAGAGGATTGAGGGGAGGGGGGAAGAGGAAGGAGGATACGCCCACCATTAAAACCTTAGTGCGAAATCTTTGTTCATTCAGTCCGGTCAGAGTGGGCACATAAATTGATTTTTGGTTGGTTTATCCACACAGTTTACTATCACCGCAGAGTTAGCCACAGGTCATCATCACGAGGTTCTCCAGTCTCTATCAGCCCAGATGTCTCTTTTGTGCTCTATGTTCAATCCCTGGGTGTACTGTGGTCTTTCGCGTCCCTACAGGGCATCATACATTTGTGTCCTTAGGAGGCTGGGGAGAGTATGTGGCCTTTCCAAAGCCAGTGAACACGACATCAAAACAATTGCTGATACAGGCAGCCGTTTCAGAACTTCCAGTAAGTATTCTTTTTTCCTGCCAACACTACTTATTGACCAAAACACTGACTAAAAGGTGACTGTTCTTTCTCTTCCATACAGCACGACGGGTATTTCCAGACACAAGATAAGGAGAACAACATAGTCAAGTTACTGTTCAAGATCAAGATCAAGATAATTAACTTCAAACGGTCAACAGATAACATTTTAATTTGTGTATTGCTAGAAACGAAAACAAAAATAACTACAACAACAACAACAGCTCACTTTACGGTTTAGCAGGGACGTGTGACCTTTTTAAAAATACCATATCAACGCCTACCCTTCTTTAGTAAATATTTTTACTCTCGACACTTAATTTATCAATTGTTACATACTGGAAATAAGATAAATCGAGCAAAAAATTTATACAGTCGATTGCTTAAGACACTACATTTTGAGAAAAATAGTTGAAGTGATATTAGAAAAAATTTTCCATTAAAATAGAATCGTTTTCTCTCTAAATAAGTCAACATATTACTATCAAAATATTCTCAAAATGGCTTTTGGCTTAGTGTCCCTCGACTGTCTATAATAAATATATCTACAAATATCAATTCATTAACTCTATGCCACAAATAAGTAATTAGAGAACGTTTTCATGTCAACTGCGTTTTTCTCTAAAAATCTCGAAAGGTATATATCACCCAGTATCGACTTTTGGCTTAGTGTCCCTCGACTGTCTATCATAATTATATCTACATATAACCGTTCAGTTACTCAATATCATAAATGATCGATCAAAAAACGTCTTAATGTAAACTGTATTTTTCTCTAAAATCTCACTTGGTATATATTACCGAAAATCGATTTTTTTCATGCATATTTAAATACTACCATCAATATAACAAGCTTGCCTCTCAAGACTGAAGATTAAAGAACCGCAGCGTTACAGATGGTATTTTTTTAAGAGCTACTTGTGTATTTCAATTCATTTGCGAAATCGCCAAATTACAAGTCAATATTGATGTCTCCAAATCAGGAAACACTATATTTTTTCGTTTCTCCTAGAATCTGGACATCTGAATTCATTAAGAATATTGGAAAACATAGTATTTATCATCATTAAAAACGTCTAAATACAATAAATTGATCTCAGACTATGTACAAGAAATCACTTGACATCTCAGCAGCTACTGGACAGTGTATTAAATACATATTAGCCAAAAATTATAGTACTTGTTACTCAAGCACTCCGTAGAGGGTTAACCTACGTGTTTGTTCGTATTTAGTCGCTCATTGCTGTCGAGGCTCTAGAGCGCAAGCGCGAGTACAGGTTTACAAATGAAGACTTCATGAACTGGTTGAAAAGCATGAAAAAGTGTTGTGTAAAGGAGAAAAAATATTTCGTATGCCTTTCACACAGATTATTTCACATCCACAATAAATTTTCATTTGAAAAGAGTGAGAAAACTGTGCATACTTTTACCATAACGAGCACCTGCCTACACGCAGGTATGCAACTAGTATTAAAGGTTTGCAACACAAATGAAAACCAACAGGTAGATTCACTAATTTCTTTAACCAATAAACCACCGTCTGAAGAAAACAGTATGTATCCCACGTTGCCTTAATTGTAATTAATTTTCTTGTGCGTCATGGAACACTTCCTCAGTGGAATCTTCAGAGTCTTTAAAATTAGAGAAATAAAAGTCTTTTAAAAATTTCACACGATTAAAAAAGCCTTTTTTAGTAGACAAAGGCGCACTGCCGGCTTTCACAGAGCTTCTCACCCCAGCAAGCTCTTCATAAGCTTTCTGGAGAGTAACCTGTAATAAGCTATCATTCGAACCTAGAGGAATAGCTATACCCCCGATCGTTCTATGTCACAAAAACCGTTAAAAAGAAGTCGCTATTAAATTTCCCCCATTTGCTTTAGGCCTGAGTAGAGACTGATTCATAACTTCGACAGATTAGGAAAAAACAGCGTCATGATTACCCTAAATGAGTAGAAGTTTGGAAAACCCCCTGTTTTGTTTCAAAACTTTTTGACATTTAATTACCTTCGATTATTGAAAGTTCACCTAACTCGTGGAGATAAGGTACCATTCCTGGCTGCTCGTCGGCTGCTGGTTCAACTACCTCCTAAATGATTAGAAAACAACTCTCAGCGTTCTTGATCTGGACTGATGAGTTAATGTCTTTATAGTTCCATTCATAACAAATACAAATTCCCGAGAAGCAAAATTATAGGTTTGTCTAGAATGACAAAATAGAGTCAGCTCAAACAAACATTATCAAATAACAATTGTTAAATTCTGCCAAAGTAAGTCATAATATTACTTCGCAAGCTTTGGTTTTTAAGTTTCCCGGCGAACCCAGAAATTCAATTAGATAACTCTAGATCCGGTTGAGTACCAAGATGCGTTATGCACACATAACCTCACTGCCCCCAGCTAAAGATACTCTTGGTCTAAACTAATTGCAGGTTCCCAGATCAGCATTGGTAAGATTCCAAAGTTTGAAGTACACAATGTGGTTAAGTCAAAAAGCTAAGATATTATGTTACAACAGCCGCTTTGGTACCAAATGCCACAGTTACAGTCACTACTTATGTAATATACCACTTTAATTACCAAACGGTAAAGAATTGCACTTACACTGCTATCTGACGCATGGTTCAATTTTACAACTGCACCGCTTCCTAAACACTACCGGCGATTTTCCTGAAACAATGATCACATAAACATTCAATCATGGTTCATGTGGCAAGAAAACGAAAACCCAATCTCTAGTTTTGAAATTTGTTTCTGAGTGTAACTTCTCCTGTACAGTCCACATTAAAATATGAAAAAGAAAAGAGGGAACCACAAGGAATGAAATGTGGTGACAGAAACTGCCTTCGAAATACGACTAAGGGTTGCTTGTGCAACAAGTATCATGATGCATTGAAGAGACACGTAGCTAAGGGAAAAATCTTTGCCAGACACATTTGAGCTGTAACTGGCCTGCATAAAAAATTAACAACAACAAGAACAACAACCTAACTAACAAACAATAAAAACACTCAATCTAATGTCAGCAAATCCTTTGCAAGAAATGTTTAAGAAAATGTTGGTTCTTGTGAAGAGCTGGGCTTCTTCTTAAAAGTGCAACAATCAAGTCGACTCTATGATTCACAAGTCTTAAATCAGTGAATTATATTTAGACCACAATGTTGAAGTAAACAGAGTATAAACCTAACCTCAAGTATCGTATTGATCAACTGTTTGTGATCTTCCAAGTGTCTCCTTAGCTGAAAGGAAAGAAATACAAGTTCTTGCAGTTACAAAAATGAATGTATTTATAAATCCCCTTCACTAAATAACTATAAACCATCATAGTCTCATCAATAACCATCATAGTCTCATCAATAGTTTTTCACTAACATTCATGCAAGATTAAGTTATCTTTCTTGTATCACATTTCACAAAGGCTAATCTCAAATAAATATATAAGAAAGTTGAACAAACTGCATTACAAAATTCATTATCTAATTTGGAAAATGAACCTGTTTCAACGTATGTTGAACAGCAATGAGCCCTGATTTATAATGGTAATTGAACTGAGTGGAGTGCAATTTGAGCTGAAATCACAAGTATGATTTCAGACTAAAATTGCACGACACAAGGTTCAATTACCACTTTATTACATCCATTTTGAAATTGCCCAAATACAGGACTTGGTCAGTTCAAATATTTAATTTATGCTGTACTGAGCCGGTTTGAAATTAAATTCATCCATTTTTTTTTGGGGGGGGGGGGGGAATAAGAGTTTTAGAAACAAAAGTTGCAAAATTTGCTACATGATACTCTTTGTCTTTCATTTTCCTGCAATTTGATTGGTTATTTTAAGCAACCTTGAAATCTGATCGGTTGTTTTGTTTTTAGTGTAGCCTTCTCATTGGCTGGGAAAAAGATGCAATTTAAAGCAAAAAATGGTGCGGTTCGTGAATAAATCGCACCAATAAGAGTCAATCAGATTACAGGGACCACCAGTGATTTCAAAATGGGTGTAATAAAGCAACTAATATTCTCAAATCTATTATCTGCAATTTAAAGTCCTTATAACAAGATATTTTTATTCTCTGCACAAATATTTAGCTTATCATATGTACAAACCAATTCCAATAGAAGAAAAATTCTGTTTTTTTAGGGCCCTAAAGTGCTCTTATATTTTTTGTGTTTAACCCTTTACACCCCAACATCAGTATTCATATTCTCATACTGTTCTCTGTACATTTACAAAGGTGCTGACAAGGAGAATTAGTCTAACTATCAAGAGTTTCTTTAGTGGTGATCATTTCCTTTATTCTCATGACATTTATGAATGATTCAGTGGTGTTATTAATTGTAAGGAGAATTCAGATGCTAGTTACTCCTCAGGGGTTACAGGGATACCAGTAAATTGTCCCAAGGACTGGTAACAAATTGGTGGGTGGTGACATGTCTTCACAGTTTCTACATCTCAGCAAAGTAACATGATCGTTTTGGCTGCATGTTTAATTGGGACACTTTTTGGCCACCAAATTGTCCTTTCAACATGCAAAAAAATGGCCAAGCTGAACCTGCTTGGTGCTAAGGTCAATTATTTATGATCTAATTCTAAATATAGTCATGGGCACTTCAAGTTCCTCAATACATAACAGCAAAAAGGAATAGGTGTTTATAGCATCTGTACTGAAAAAGATTGTAAAATTTGATAAAGTTAGGATGGGCTAAGGGTCTACAATAGCGGTGTTGTTGTGCTTTAAATTCTTACAACAAATAGACAATTGTCCACCAACATCAACAAGTGCTAAGTCTGTTATTACTCTGAGAGGTGACACCCCATGAGTCAGTAAGGACAGTGATGTACAAGTCATATACTTCTACATTTGCTGCATGCAAATTATTCCTTTCAACTTGTGAATGAGCATACTGCTGCCTGGATTCCTAGAGTAAAACAATCATAATTAGGAGGAATCATTAGAGGAGTATAACATAAAAGTCAAAGGTGGTGATATCAAATAAAAATCTCAAAGATTGACTGTTCCCACATCTACTGGTAACAGTAAGACATTTCAATGTAAGTAGCCATTGCTAAACCACTTAAGTTTGGACAGTGAAGACACTTTTCACCTCCTCTCTAGAGTAAACACCAATTAATTAGCCATTACAATGAGACTAAGCATATT